AGTTTACCTAAGGAATCTCTCAGGGTTATTGTTAGCATCGATGTAGATCTTTGCTAGTATATCAAGTTTACCTAAGGAATCTCTCAGGGTTATTGTTAGCATCGATGTAGATCTTTGCTAGTATATCAAGTTTACCTAAGGAATCTCTCAGGGTTATTGTTAGCATCGATGTAGATCTTTGCAAGTGCATTGTGTGTAGCAGGTTCTTCCGATCCATCATGGATTCTTGCTTCAAGCCAGGTAAGAAGAAGTTTCAAACGGTTTCGCTTTTCTACTTCTTCAACAAGTTCATCAGTGGAAAATTGACCACGAACTGCCATGATAAGACCTTTGATGATATCTTCAGAACAATCTACATCAAGCAGCCCCCCAACTACTACAGGCAAACGGGATGGATTCACCTAGAAAACACAAATTGTATTAACCATCAACCTCACTAATAAAACTCACTGAAACTTCACCTTGAATTAGCCTTTCAGATTTATGTAAGATTGTTTCATGCACATTGATGCAATCAATCGAAAGATGGTGTTGATGAAATCATCATAAAGGCATTATATCCATATCACATTATAGAAATGTCAATAACTAACATACTTATTATTACAAAAACAGGACAAAATGAAGGTGTACCAAGACACTGGGTTCTTACCTTTTGTACATAGATTTCAATGTATTTCTGCAAGTTATTGCGGTAAAGATACAGCACCAGGTCATGGACAAAGTCAAACCTATCACACACAATGATGAGAGGCAGTTGATCAGTCAACTTGGCTTCCTGGAAAAAAAACAACACACATCAATGTTAACTTGTAACTAGTGCTTGTTTGTATTGTAATAAGATATACATCATTATGAGTTATGACTATTGGGGTCAGTAAAAATCACCTTCAAAAAGTTCTTGACTCTCTCTGGGTCATAGCAGTTACTCTCTCTACAGATTCTCTCCACTTCTTTGATCTGACCAGTCTTGCAGGCAGCCTGTATAAAACAAAAACAAACGCTGTTACAGATGACAAATTATTGGATGGTTTCTACAGATAAATATATTGATTAACAATGATATGATATTGTTGGTGTTGTACCTGGATGTACTTGAAATGAACATCAGCTTCCTGGCTGAAATTCACAATGGAACCCAGGAAGTAGAACAAACCTACAAAATAAATACAATGTGTTAGTCTACTTTAAACTTTTCCCCTTTTCTCCCTTGAAGAGATCTACTGTATGTATTGCAGGTTACTACAGAAAACATTTATTAACTTCCTATATTGAAATGCAAATTATAACCTTTTCCATCAATTACCTTCAAAACTCTTGAAGGATTCAAAGAGTTCAATAAGTGATGTTGTCCCTAACTGGTCATGGTACTTGGTTGCTACCTGGACACAGATCTGTAGGTTTTGTCTGATATTGTGGGTCAACATGGCCTTAAGACATTCTAGAGAATCCTCTACTGATAGGGATCCAAAGTAGTTTACCAACCACTGAAAAAAAACATCAAATATAAACTAAACGTTCTGTGTTTATAATGATATTCTAATGGATATTCTTTTGGATAATCCTTTCAGCTTTATGTAAGATTGTTTCATGCATGCTTGATGCAATCAATCGAAAGATGGTGTTGAAGAAATCATCATAAAGGCATAATCAAGAGTATAATTTTACACCAACACGTCTCTCTTACCTCTGGGTTTAACAGGTGAGTATGAACAATAGCTCTCTTGATGTCAAAGATGTCTGTATAATGTTCAAGAGCCTACAAGAAAGATCAACAGGATTTAACAGGATTTGGATGTATTATCTTACAGGATACACACACATTTAATCTTTATTTGGCCTTTTCAGATTATAAAGAGATGTTTCATGCAATTAATGCAATCAATCGAAAGATGGTGTTGTAGAAATCATCATAAAGGCTTGATTTTAAAATCTATAACAACAGTTCTAATCATGAATTTAAAATACTTTTGAAATACATTATTTCTATCATTGGAATTACCTGATTTTCAGTAACAAATACATTATTATTCTGTGCACACATTCATTAGCTTATATGAATTGATACAACAATGTACATAAAGAGAAATACAATAAACCAACTCACCCTTTGCAGCAGACCAGCGTTTTCACAGAGCTGAGCAATGTGTGCCTTGTCATAATGGGTGAACATTTGATTACCAAGTATGGCATCAGCAACCTTTGAAGTACAAGTTTCATGAAGATTGTTAACAATAAAGTCAAGAAAACAATCCATGTCTAACGATTAGTGTGAGAGAATATTTATTGGCCTTTCAGATTAATGTAAGATTGTTTCATGCATGTGATGCAATCAATCGAAAGATGGTGTTGTTAAAATCATCATCAAGGCTGCTAATGATCTCTTGTTCTTTCAAAGTACAAAACAGTTGACAAAGCTTGTCTCTACAACATCCTCTTTTTCATATTTTTACTGAAGATACTGTCATGAGGTTGTTTTGGTGTGCAGTTATTTGTTGTTTGTGAGTCTGAATTATTGTTTTGATGTAATTATTACATTGTGTTATGTGCAATGTAGTTGTTTTGTTTCTTGCTATTGTTACCTGAGGTGCTGTCATGAGGTTGTTGTGTAATGTGCAATGTAGTTGTTTTGTTTCTTGTTATTGTTACCTGAGGTGCTGTCATGAGGTTGTTGTGT